ATAACTCGAAAAGTTTAAATGTGTTAAAAAAGGATAATAATATTTTATATCTAGTTGCTGAATACAGGACTGGTCTTCTTCCCAACCCGCTATATGGATTCGTGACACTTTGTCTTTGTTAGGCGAGTCTTAACAGCTTAAGTTGTTTGTTCTTTAAGAAACTGGTTCTTGGTGTATCTTCAGGCGATATTCGTAAAACTTGTTTTGGTGGTGTGAGTCTAAGACCTTCTTCAAAAATAATTGTAATTGTTCTTGGTTAGAAGTTGAGGAGTTGATTTGCGTGTAATCCTTCAGTCAGGTTCTTGCGAGGCAGGCCCAACTCAATTCAACTCAGCTGCGAACTCAACTGCGAACTGCCTCTCAACTGCTTTTCCCTTGCTGTGACTCTGCTTATATGGACGCCGACCAAAACCGGGGTTGGCTTGTCGAGTTTTGAGGTTCCTTGATAATGCTAAATCTACAATCCACCTCTTTGTTTTCGGTCATGAAAATTTATTATTTTCCATTTTTGGAAGTCCTTCGTCCTCCCACCTTCTTCTGTTCTCATATTGGTATCTCACCATACCCTCAGAGGGTGTCAACGGGTTCCCCCTCTCTCACAGTGGCATCTCATACCGATCCATTCAATGGGTGTTAACAGGCCTCCCCTCCTACTTCACATGATTACCTTCGCCTAACGCTCACGCCAGCATTCAGCCAATGGGCGCCCAGCAGTGTGGGTGTGGTTAGACTAGCCTCCGTTTAAGAAATCTTGCTCAAAGAAAAAAAAATTATCTTCCTTTTTTTTTCTTTTTCTTTTCTTTCTCTTTCTTCTTAGACTCGTAGTGTGGTCTTTTAATCTCAATTTTATCTGAATGTCACTTGGACTTCGTCACTCGGGACCTTTGCCAAACAAGTGGGTGGCCATCCGGCGAGATCCACATTCTGGCGTTAATTATTCGTTCTGATAAAATAATTTTTCTATCGTGCCCAGCTTCGACATAAAACAGATGTCTTTTCCAAACGACATCTTCGTAGATAGCTAATGGCTCAGTCTGTTGTTTTTGTAATTCTGCAGTTGGTCCAACAAATATTTTTCTGCGACCCATTTAATTTTTTATCTCTTTAGAATTCTGTTTCGTAGGCGACTGTACCTACCTGGAATTTATCATTATCGTTGTCATGGCAGACTGCTGTCGTTTATTCGGTGATCGTCATAAATCAAATTAAATTCTGTGTTTTACTTTCTCGGCAATGGAAATAGAATCTTACCACTTTTCCTTGTGAGAAAAATAACACGCTTAGTGTCCTTTTCGTGATCGCTTCTTATCACCTAAATTTAATTCTCGCCTTCTTTTTTTTTCTTTCTTTCTAGCAACCTAAATAGTGTCACAGTGAGATTATTTTGCATAATTAACTAGGCATTATGATGGTTTCTGTCAGGTGGGGGTCACGTGTTCTGAATCCTGACCAAAAGCGCACCAGACTGTTCCCATCACGAAAAAATTGACATTGTTTGAAGCAGGAACCTCTAAATCAGAACGAGTGCTGTGCTGATCACATTGGAGACAAAGAGAATCCATGCAATGGAAACACCTGTCCTCCCCTGCTCCAAAGAAGGCCAAGATCATTTTATCTGCAAGGAAGGTGTTTGCCTCTGTATTTTGGGATGCAAAAGACATTGTGCTTATTGACTATCTTAAAAAGAGTCGCTCCATCAATGGAGAGTAGTGTGCCAACTTGCTGAGTGTGTTACGAAAGTCTAAGAACAAGTAACGTACAGAGAAATTGACTGAAGAGGACTTGGTACATCAAGTCCTTTCATTTCAAAGGCTTCTGTATGTGAATGTCTTTGAAATGGTTGATTCAATTCTCCTGATTTTCACCCCCACTGACAATCATCTGTTTCCCAAAATGAAAACAAACTCTTGACTAGGAATCAGTATATTAGTGACGATGATGACTTTTTTCACCAACAGACTTCTTTGACCAGTCAGATGTCAGTTAACCTGCAACGAAACAATTCAGTTATTAATAAGAAGGTATATATATATATATATATATATATATATATATATATATATATTCTGTCTGAATTTCTGGGATAGAAGCTATCATTATTTACATCATTCCGGTGCGATCTATTGTCCCCTTCTTTCTTTTGGTCATAACAACTTTTCGGCCGTTCTGCTCTCCGGTCTACGATTTGGGTAACGTTGATTTAATCTAGGGAGGGGGATTGTTCTATTTCTCGGGTGATATCGTCTAGCTCTTATTTAATGCTGCTCAGTTATTGCTTGCCTCTTTCGACACACTGCCCGGCCCGGGGATTGAATTAATGTCACCAAATTCACAAACGAATCCCTTGTCCGTGGAACAATTCTGAGTAGAAAAGATGAAGACTTAAACCTACATGCTTGTTGAGTTCTTTTACGCTTGATTGCACACATTGACGCTTCAGTTTTTACAGCAGATGCGGCTGTTGTTGAAACATCGCTGTCATATATGTATATATTTAATAATACCCCATATAGTATGCGTACAAAGGAGGTCCTCATAGCCTAACATACGTGCAGTTCTTCAATATCAGTGATTATAAAGGTGAAAATAGCCTTCGCCTAAAGGTAAGGATGGAGGGACATTGAACAGCCGTAATTGGGGGTGAAACAACAAAATCATGAATGGTTAATCATGTATAGAAGGAAAAGAGCAATCCTCAACCCCTGATGTCTGAACAAATCGGCGCATATGCTAGACTACGAGGACATCCTGGCTATGCCAGTGCACATGTTAGTACTTTGTGTGTTCATAATACGAAGTCGCTTCTTGCAGATTGACCACAGATTCTCGATTGGATATAAATCAGGAGAGTTTCCAGGCCAGTCGATAGTACTTTGATTTTCTCTCTGCTAAGGATTGCCAGTGTGTTCGTGCAGCGTTACAATTTTCGTACGCTTCCTTGGAGTAACATCCACCGAGGAGAATGACCATAGGACAACTAATCGGCAGTCGAGACAATAGTGTCTGGGCGTGATGAAAATCTGACGCAATCACGGATGACGCAATATTTTTCAAGGCGAAACAAATTTCATCATACACCCCGAAAATAGATTCATATTACTGCACACCACTGCAAATGACCTAATCTGAGGAAAAAAAAACTAATCGATTATACACTGTTACTACAGTGGATCTAAAACATACTGTTTGGTAAAAGAAAGGAAACTAAAAAAAACGTTGTTTCAATTTATTTGCAGAAGGGTTTATATGATTTCTAGGACGTTTAGCTCAAAAACATCGACTCCATAAGAAGACCAAAAATACGTCTAAGATTCGGATACTCTTTCTTAGCTTGTTCATTATTCTTCCCTTCTTATCAACTTCATATTGTATAATGGATCCTTATTTAGCAATCTGCCTATATCCGCTCGACTTCATATATATATATATATATATATATATATATATATATAAACTTCCCACAGAAATATACTAGACCATCTTCATGGACATTTTATCTTAAATAGACCGAAACGTCCGACGTCGACTTTATTTTAACATTAATAATGCGTATTCAGAATTTTGTTTTTTTCTGTATTTTTCTTTCATACTGTCGGATTTATATCCATATATTTGCTTTATATATATATATATATATATATATATATATATATATATATATATATATATATATATATATATATGTGTGTGTGTGTGTTTATAAAAACTATCGATCCGCAGTACAAAAAAAAAAAAAACTAGTACTAAGACAACACTATATTAATTGAACTATATACTTAGTTCATGACATATTAACTTAAAACACTTGTAAAAATAGAATACGTGGATTTTACCACATGACAAGAAAAGTTCAAATAAAATTCTCACTTAAAATTTTGAAAAATTTAACGTTGCGTCTTTGCACGTTCCAATATTGTACACAACAGTCAATAATAGCACATTCTCAAAAAAAAAAACATCTTTCGGTCTACAAACAATTATTTCGTCTCCAAGTTTTTGATTTTACAAGGAAAAGATATGGCTGATGATGAATAAAGGATTATTCGAAAGTACTTGCATTTAAAAAAAAATATAAACTGGAAACAACAGACAATAGTTTTATAAATGAGGATCACATCATTCTATGGATAAACAGTATTTTAATGCATACATTATACACTACTAGCGATGGATATCGCCAATAATGGCATTAATATTGCTGATTGATTCTATACGAATATATATATATATATATATATATATATATATATATATATATATATATATATATATATATATATATATATATATATATATATATATATATATATATATATATATATATATATATATATATATATATATACGAGCGTGGCCAAATGGTTAGATTGTTCGCTTTCTGACCATGAGACCATCTCACCGTGGTCGATTTATCAGGAAGGAGACTTCCTGATGTTATCGGAATGAATCGAGATCGATCCTAGCGTGCGGAACCTTTTGAAAGTGCCTGAAAAACCATACCACGGGTTGACCCAAGCCTTGTGAATAAAATTGGGGAGACGGAATTCTTGAGGGCCGTCGATAGCTGTGCTAGCACGAAGTCACAAGTCATCCTGACCGAGGGCTTGATCGTGCTGGCCTTGTTCAAATTGTTCAACACGCTAGATAACACTCTCTATCCCAGAAACTGTAACATAGGTTTGCTCTGCATAGTTGCACTATCAACCACAGGTGGGCTCTGTGGGTGTTCAGAAAACACAATTGTGCCTGAGCGATCGTCTGCAATTGGGATTGGCAAGCTGTCCTAGTAGACGGGTATCTTCGAATAGGAGTGGACGGCTATTATATATATATATATATATATATATATATATATATATATATATATATATCGTCCTTCTGTTTCATTTTCTGGGAAATCTTTTCATTTTGCTTTCATTTTTTTTTTACATTATCTTTTTTATTCCTTTGTTTGCTCTATGTCGTTTCTTTCATTTCTATCATTTGTTTATTTGAATAAGTTTTTATTTTCTTCTTTCACTTTATTATTTTTTATCGTTCTGTTCGTCATTTTTCTCTTTCTACATTTCCATATTCTTACATTATTTTTCTTCTTTATCTTTTCTCTTTTTTTTTCTCCTTTATCTCATTTCTCTTTTTCTTCTTGTTCTTTTCTCTTTTTCCCATTCCATTTTTTCTTTTTTTCTTTCTCTGTTCTCTTTTCCTCCTTCCTCTTTTACCTTTCTTCTTGTTCTTTTCTCTTTTTCCCATTCCATTTTTTCTTTTTTTCTTTCTCTGTTCTCTTTTCCTCCTTCCTCTTTTACCTTTCTTCTTTTTCTTTTCTCTTTTTCCCATTCCATTTTTTCTTTTTTTACTTTCTCTATTCTCTTTTTCTCCTTCCTCTTTTACCTTTCTTCTTTTTTTTTTCTCTTTTTCCGATTCCATTTTTTCATCTTTTTCTTTCTCTGTTCTCTTTTTCTCCTTCCCCTTTTTCTTTTCTTCTTTTTCTTTTCTGTTGTTCCCATTCCATTTTTTCTTTTTTTTCTTTCTCTGTTCTCTTTTTCTCATTCCTCATTTTCTTTTCTTCTTTTTCTTTTCTCTTTTTCCCATTCCATTTTTTTCTTTTTTTTCTTTCTCTGTTCTCTTTTTATCATTCCTCTTTTTCTTTTCTTCTTTTTCTTTTCTCTTTTTCCCATTCCATTTTTTTCTTTTTTTTCTTTCTCTGTTCTCTTTTTCTCCTTCCTCTTTTACCTTTCTTCTTTTTCTTTTCTCTTTTTCCCATTCCATTTTTTCTTTTTTTTCTTTCTCTGTTCTCTTTTTCTCCTTCCTCTTTTCTTTTCTTCTTTTTCTTTTCTCTTTTTCCCATTCCATTTTTTTTTTTTTTATTCTTTATCTTCTTTTTTTCTCATTCTATTTTTTCTTTTCTTCTTTTTATTTTTCTTTTTCCCATTCATTTTTTTTTTTTTTTTTTCTCTGTTCTTTTTTTCTCATTCTTTTTTTCTTTTTCTTCTTTTTTCTTTCTCTTATTCCCATTCTTTTTTTCTTTTTTTTCTTTCTCTGTTCTTTTTTCCTCCTTCCTTTTTCTTTTCTTCTTTTCTTTTCTCTTTTTTCCCATTCCATTTTTTTTTTTTATTTCTCTGTCTCTTTTCCTTCTTCCACTTTTTCTTTTCTTCTTTTTCTTTTCTCTTTTTCCCATTCCATTTTTTTCTTTCTCTGTTCTCTTTTCCTTCTTCCTCTTTTTCTTTTCTTCTTTTTCTTTTCTCTTTTTCCCATTCCATTTCTTCTTTTTTTTCTTTCTCTGTTCTCTTTTCCTCCTTCCTATTTTTTGTTTTCTTCTTTTTCTTTTCTCTTTTTCCCATTCCATTTTTTCATTTTTTTCTTTCTGTGTTCTCTTTTTCTCCTTCCTCTTTTACCTTTCTTCTTTTTCTTTTCTCTTTTTCCCATTCCATTTTTTCTTTTTTTTCTTTCTCTGTTCTCTTTTTATCATTCCTCTTTTTCTTTTCTTCTTTTTCTTTTCTCTTTTTCCCATTCCATTTTTTCTTTTATTCTTTCTCTGTTCTCTTTTTCTGCTTCCTCATTTTCTTTTCTTCTTTTTCTTTTCTCTTTTTCCCATTCCATTTTTTTTTTTCTTTTCTCTGTTCTCTTTTCTCCTTCTTCTTTCTTTTTCTTTCTTTTTTTTTTTTTTCTTTTTCCCATTTCCTTTTTTTCTTTTTTTTTCTCTCTCTGTTCTTTTCTCCTTCTCTTTCTTTCTTTTCTCTTTTCTTTTTCTTTTTTCCCATTCCATTTTTTCTTTTTTTTCTTTCTCGTTCTCTTTTTCTCCTTCCTCTTTTACCTTTCTTCTTTTATTTTCTGTTTTTCCCATTCCATTTTTTCTTTTTTTTCTTTCTCTGTTCTCTTTTTCTCATTCCTCTTTTACCTTTCTTCTTTTTCTTTTCGCTTTTTCCCATTCCATTTTTTCTTTTTTTTCTTTCTCTGTTCTCTTTTTATCATTCCTCTTTTTCTTTTCTTCTTTTTCTTTTCTCTTTTTCCCATTCCATTTTTTCTTTTTTTTCTTTCTCTGTTCTCTTTTTTCCTTTTCTTTTCTTTCTTCTTTTTTTTTTCTCTTTTCCCATTCCATTTTTCTTTTTTTCTTTCTCTTTTTTTTCTCCTTTCTTTCTTTCTTCTTTTTATTTTCTGTTGTTTCATTCTTTTTTTCTTTTTTTTCTTTCTCTATTTTTTTCATTCCTCTTTTTTTTCTTCTTTTCTTTTCTTTTTTTCATTCCTTTTTTTCTTTTTTCTTTCTCTGTTCTTTTTTTCCTTCCTTTTTACCTTTCTTCTTTTTTTTTTCTTTTTCCCATTCATTTTTCTTTTTTTTTCTTTCTCTGTTCTTTTTTATCATTCCTCTTTTTCTTTTCTTCTTTTTCTATTCTCTTTTTCCCATTCCATTTTTTCTTTTATTCTTTCTCTGTTCTCTTTTTCTGCTTCCTCATTTTCTTTTCTTCTTTTTCTTTTCTCTTTTTCCCATTCCATTTTTTCTTTTTTTTCTTTCTCTGTTCTCTTTTTCTCCTTCTTCTTTTACCTTTCTTCTTTTTCTTTTTTCTTTTTCCCATTCCATTTTTTCTTTTTTTTCTCTCTCTGTTGTCTTTTTCTCCTTCCTCTTTTTCTTTTCTTCTTTTTCTTTTCTCTTTTTCCCATTCCATTTTTTCTTTTTTTTCTTTCTTTCTTTTTTTCCTTTCTTTTACCTTTCTTCTTTTATTTTCTGTTTTTCTTTCCATTTTTTTTTTTTTTTTCTTTCTCTGTTCTTTTCTCATTCCTTTTTTTCTTTCTTCTTTTCTTTTCTTTTTTTCCCTTTCCTTTTTTTTTTTTTTCTTTCTCTGTTCTTTTTTTTCATTTTCTTTTTCTTTTCTTTTTTTTTCTTTTCTTTTTTTCTTTCCATTTTTTCTTTTTTTCTTTCTCTGTTCTCTTTTCTCCTTTTCTTTTACCTTTCTTCTTTTCTTTCTCTTTTTCCCATTCTTTTTTTTTTTTTTCTTTCTCGTTCTTTTTTCTCCTTCCTCTTTTCTTTCTTTCTTTTATTTTCTGTTCTTTCTTTCCATTTTTTCTTTTTTTTTCTTTCTATTCTCTTTTTCATTTCTTTTTCTGTTTTTCTCTTTTTCTTTTCTTTTTTTCCCTTTTTTTTTTTTTTTTTTTCTCTGTTCTTTCTTTTCTTTCTTTCCTCTTTTACCTTTCTTCTTTTTTCTTTTCTTTTTTCCCATACCTTTTTTTCTCTATTTTCTTTCCCTGTTCTCTTTTCCTCCTTTCTCTTTTTTTTTTTTCTTTTCTTTCTCTTTTCTTCCATTTTTTTCTTTCTTTCTTTTTCTGTTCTCTTTTCTCCTTCCCTTTTTTTCTTTCTTTTTTTTTTTCTCTTTTTCCAATTCCTTTTTTTTTTTTTTTTCTCTGTTCTCTTTTTCTTTCTTCCTTTTTTTCTTTTCTTTTTTTTTTTCTTTTTCCCATTTTTTTTTCTTTTTTTTTCTTTCTCTGTTTCTTTTCTTTCCTCTTTTTCTTTTCTTTCTTTTTCTTTCTCTTTTTCCCATTCCATTTTTCTTTTTTTTTTTTCTTTTCTGTTCTCTTTTTTTCTTTCATTCTGTTTTTTCTTTCTTTCTTTTTTTTTTCTTTCTTTCTTTTTTTTTTTTTTTTTTCTTTCTCTGTTCTCTTTTTCTCATTCCTCTTTTTCTTTTCTTCTTTTTCTTTTCTCTCATTCCCATTCCATTTTTTTCTTTTATTCTTTCTCTGTTCTCTTTTTCTCATTCCTATTTTTCTTTTCTTCTTTTTCTATTCTCTTTTCCCATTCCATTTTTCTTTTATTCTTTCTCTGTTCTTTTTTTCTTTCTCATTTTTCTTTCTTTCTTTCTCTCTTTTTTTCATTCTTTTTTTCTTTTTTTCTTTTTCTCTGTTCTCTTTTCTCTTCTTCTTTTCTTTCTTTTCTTTTCTTTTTTCTTTTTCCCATTCCATTTTTTTTTTTTTTTTCTTTCTCTGTTCTTTCTTTTCTTTCCTCTTTTCTTTTCTTCTTTTCTTTTCTCTTTTTCCCATTCCTTTTTCTTTTTTTTTTCTTTCTTTCTTTTTCTCCTTCCTCTTTTTTCTTTCTTTCTTTTTATTTTCTTTTTCCCATTCCTTTTTTTCTTTTTTTTCTTTTCTGTTCTTTCTTTCTCATTCCTCTTTTACCTTTCTTTCTTTTCTTTTCTCTTTTCCCATTCCATTTTTTTCTTTTTTTCTTTCTCTGTTCTTTTTTTCATTCTGTTTTTTCTTTTCTTTTTTTCTTTTCACTTTTTTCCCATTTCATTTTTTTTTTTTTTTTTTTTTCTCTGTTCTCTTTTTTCTCCTTGTTCTTTTACCTTTCTTCTTTTTCTTTTCTTTTTTTCCCATTCTTTTTTTTCTTTTTTTCTTTTCTTTCTCTTTTCTTTCTCTTTTCCTTTTTCTTTCTTTTTCTGTTCTTTCTTTCTCTTTTTCTTTTTTTCTTTTCTTTCTCTTTTTTTTCATTGTTTCTTTTCTTTCTTCTTTTTCTTTTCTCTTTTTCCCATTCCTTTTTTTTCTTTTTTTCTTTCTCTGTTCTTTTTTCTCTGTTTCCTCTTTTACCTTTTTCTTTTTCTTTTTTTTTTTTCCTTTCCATTTTTTCTTTTTTCTTTCCTGTTCTTTTTTCCTCCTTCCTCTTTTTTTTCTTTTTTTTTTCTTTTTCCCATTCCTTTTTTTCTTTTTTTCTTTCTCTGTTTCTTTTTTCTCCTTCCCATTTTTCTTTTCTTCTTTTCTTTTCTTTTTTTTCCTTTTTTTCTCTTTTTTTTCTCTTTCTCTTTTTTCCTTCTATTTTTTTCTTTTCTTCTTTTTCTTTTTCTTTTTCCCATTCCATTTTTTTTTTTTTTTTCTCTGTTCTCTTTTCTTTCTCTTTTTTCTTTTTTTCTTTTCTTTCTCCCATTCCTTTTTTTCTTTTTTTTCTTTCTTTCTTTTTCTCTTTCTTATTTTTTCTTTTCTTTTTTTATTTTCTCTTTTTCCCATTTCATTTTTTTTTTTTTTTTCTTTCTCTGTTCTTTTTCTCATTCTTCTTTTTCTTTTCTTCTTTTCTTTTTCTCTTCCCATTTCTTTTTTTTTTTTATTCTTTCTCTGTTCTTTTTTTCTCTTTCTTTTTTTTTTTTCTTTCTTTTTTCTTTCTTTTTTTCCCATTCTTTTTTTCTTTTTTTTTTTCTTTCTCTGTTCTCTCTTTCTTTCTTTCCTCTTTTCTTTTTTTTTTCTTTTCTCTTTTTCCTCTTTCCATTTTTCTTTTTTTTTTTTTCTGTTCTTTTTTCCTCCTTCTTTTTTTTTTTTCTTTTCTTTTCTTTTTCCCATTTCTTTTTTTTTCTTTTTTCTTTTCTTTCTCTTTTCTTCCTTTCTCTTTTTTGTTTTCTTTTTTTCTTTTCTCTTTTCCCATTCCATTTTTTTTTTTTTTCTTTCTCTCTCTCTTTTTCTTTCTTTCTCTTTTTACATTTCTTCTTTTTCTTTTCTTTTTCCATTTCTTTTTTTTTTTTTTTCTCTGTTCTTTTTTTCATTTCTTTTTCTTTTCTTTTTTTCTTTTCTCTTTTTCACATTCTTTTTTTTCTTTTTTTTTTTCTCTGTTCTTTTTTATCATTTCTTTTTCTTTTCTTCTTTTCTTTTCTCTTTTTTTTTTTTTTTTCTTTCTCTGTTCTCTTTTCTCCTTCCTTTATTTTTTTCTTCTTTTTCTTTTCTTTTTTTTCCCATTTTTTTTTTTTTTTTTTTTTTCTTTTCTGTTTTTTTTTTCTATTTTTTCTTTTTTTCTCTTTTTTTTTTCTTTTTCCCATTCCATTTTTTTTTTTTTTTTTTCTGTTCTCTTTTTCTCATTCTTTCTTTCTTTTTCTTCTTTTCTTTTCTTTTACCATTACTTTTTTTTTTTTTTCTTTCTCTGTTCTTTTTTTTCTCCTTCCTCATTTTCTTTTCTCTCTTTTTCTTTTCTTTTTTTCCCATTCCATTTTTTTATTTCTCTGTTCTTTTTCTTTCTTCCTCTTTTCTTTTCTTTCTTTTTTTTCTTTTTTCCCATTCCATTTTTTTTTTTTTTTTTCTTTCTCTGTTTCTTTTCCTCCTTCCTCTTTTCTTTTTCTTTTTTTTTTTTTTTTTCCCATTCCATTTTTTCTTTTTTTTTTCTCTTTTCCTCCTTCCTCTTTTTTGTTTTCTTCTTTTTCTTTTCTCTTTTTCCCATTCGATTTTTTCATTTTTTTCTTTATCTGTTCTCTTTTCCTCATTCCTCTTTTTCTTTTCTTCTTTTTCTTTTCTCTTTTTCCCATTGCATTTTTTCTTTTTTTTCGTTCTCTGTTCTCTTTTTCCCCTTCCTCTTTTACCTTTCTTTTTTTCTTTTCTCTTTTTGCCATTCCATTTTTTCTTTTTTTTTCTTTCTCTGTTCTCTTTTTCTCCTTCCTCTTTTTCTTTTCTTCTTTTTCTTTTCTCTTTTTCCCATTCCATTTTTTCTCTTTTTTTCTTTCTCTGTTCTCTTTTTCTCCTTCCTCTTTTTCTCCTTCTTCTTTTTCTTTTCTCTTTTTCCCATTACATTTTTTCTTTTTTTTCTTTCTCTGTTCTCTTTTTCTCCTTCTTCCTTTTTTTTTACTTCTTTTCTCTTTTTCTTTTTCCCATTCCATTTTTTTTCTTTTTTCTTTTCTGTTCTTTTTCTCCTCTCTTCTTTTCTTTCTTTTTTTTCTTTTCTCTTTTCCCATTCCTTTTTTTTTTTTTCTTTCTCTGTTCTTTTTTCTCCTTCCTCTTTTCTTTCTTTCTTTTTTCTTTCTCTTTTCCCTTTCTTTTTTTTCTCTTTTTTCTTTCTCTGTTCTCTTTTCTCCTTCTCTTTTCTTTCTTCTTTTCTTTTCTCTTTTTTTCCATTTTTCTTTTTTTTTTTTTTCTCTGTTCTTTTTTTTTCCTTCCTCTTTTTTCTCCTTTTTCTTTTCTTTTTTTTCCCATTCCATTTTCTTTCTTTTTTTTCTTTCTCTGTTCTCTTTTTTCTTCCTCTGTTTTTCTCCTTCTTTTTTCTTTTTCTTTTCCCATTCCATTTTTTTCTTTTTTTCTTTCTCTGTTCTCTTTTCTCCTTCCTCTTTTTCTCCTTCTTCATTTTCTTTTCTTTCTTCTTTTTCTCATTCTTTTTTTAATTTTCTTCTTTTTCTCGTTCTTTTTCTTTTTCTTTTCTCCTGTTTCTCTTTCTTCTTTTTCATCTTTTTCTTTTCCTCATTCCTCTCTTTCTTTTCTTCTTTTCTGTTCCTCTTTTTCTCATTCTTATACATTATACACTACTAGCGATGGATGTCGCCAATAATAGCATTAATATTGCTGATTGATTCTATGCGTGATTATTTCTTTGTATATATATATATATATATATATATATATATATATATATATATATAACATAAACTTGTGATTGCATAATGATTTTTCTTTGATATTTTTCCCTCTCTTTTCAAGACCAAATGGAGAGTCTCAAAAATCTCAACAAACCTCAATAGTTGCTAAACATTTCTTCGCCATTACTTACGCCATTTTAGACGATATTACATCTTACTCCACTGCAATGCAATGCCTTTTCAGATGTTCTCCTTGCGGTCAAGTCTATAGTTGTTTAATCTGTCAGACGAGAACATATCCACAATGTAAGGATCCGGTCTGTAAAGGGGATCTAGAAATCCGTATGCAAAAAATGATCGCTGTAGACATAGCCAAGATTTGAACACTTATTAAAGATTACATTTTTACGGTGATAACCGCACATGTACACCGCCTTTATACAATGATTAAATTAACATTTTAAACAGGTACTTTTAAGTAAGAACAGGAGTAATTAAAGCCTTGAATCTCTGAAGACGTTGTATCTGTGCCACTAGGTACAGGGCGGCCTCTCTATTAGAATATACTGTTATCTGCTTAATACGATTCAGTGCCATTTCTTGCTAAGTGCTTCCATTTGTCTTCGGTCAACTTTAGAGTGACTAATCACCATAATGGTCGTCCATCGTCGGCAGAAGCCATCAGCGATCGATTGAGACGACTGCATCAGGTGAAGGTCGGGATCTCAGGTAGCCATGTAGGAATTTTGATAAATTTCTTGAATTTTATCTCTCTTGTTTTCTGATTTTTTTCATCGTGGGTTGTTTGAAATTGTTTTCAACCACTAAAAATACCCCGTATTTTTTAAAGGGGTCGTAACACTTACATTGTAGGACAAAATTTAGGCCCGCAGCTTGAAATTCGAAGAATCGATTAATCGTTTGCTTGCTTTTTTCAATATATATTTAAACAGGAAGGACCTTCTCTTCCTAAAGTGTTTTTATTATGTATTCAATAATAATATTAATGAAAATAATAATAATAATAATAATAATAATGACAAAATTATTCCACTAATGCATGTAATTTTTTAAAAGTTTAGGCTTTTTTTGTAAATCTACCTTGCTGCTTAATTTTAACTCTATTCCTAGCGAATTTTAATTTTGACATATCATATTCTCTAAAAGTAAAACGTCACACACACATGAACAAACGGTTTTAAGTGTTAGAGAGAATAGGATATGGGGAAGAGCTATAAACGTCAACTTTCTGAAGGAACACCAAAAATATAATAAGAAGACAGTATAGATATTTCCAAAATTGGATACATTAATGTAGAATTTTTTTTCGGAATATAGCTTATTTTCCGGCTTACAAAACGCACTTTTTTTCCTAACAAATACTCTGAAAATACGTGTGCGTCTTCCAAGCTGAATGTAATGCAACACGCAGGCTCAAGTAATTTTGGATGTTACCTAATTGGCTTGCCTGATAGAGATTTGTATATTGAGTCATTATACTGTAATGTTAGCTATCTATCTAATTCAGCTTTTCATATGATGTAACCTCATTACTTAGATGTGACGATTACTTACAACACTATAAACCTTCCTAGAGCCGAGCCACAAACTTAAACGTACACTGTTTACTAACAGCGGCGGGAGCCTTTCTGCTCTTCACTAGTATATCATTCCATACAAACAAAATCCGATTAAGTGATTAATGTAAACAATACCTGACGCCAGTATGTGAGGGACACATGGTGAATGTGTTGTTGTATGAGAATGGATTCTTTTCTTCGAATGTTATTTCCAATATTACGATGCGTTTTCTAAGCCGGAAAATACTGTACAAGATTTTTTAAAGAAAAGTTTGGTTTTTATTTTTTCTAATAAACCCAATAAAAATATAGATCATTAATTTAGAAACAAAGAAAGTTCACAGTTAAAAAAAAATGGGGGCTACTATAGCGTGAGGTCTACCTCAATATGTCGTCTACCCTGTTGCAGCGCGAAGTTTTATCGTGACCCTCCCCTCACGTGACCATCAGGTCAGGTGAATTCATGGAGCAGGTCAGGTGAGGTCTAACATGGATATTTATACCTGTCTCACATATTTTAAACACGTGACCTTCCCATATAAAAAGCAGCAAATGGAGCTCGTAAATCAGAATCCTCCTCAGCCAGAACCAGTTAACAAAAAATTTAGAACTTCATGGTACTTCAGGGTACTTCAAAATGTTACTGAAGGTGTTTTATAGAAGAGTCATCCTGACTAAACAAACAGCAGTTGCCTTTTTAAGAAAACACGATCTACTGGATACAGTTCAACAAGCATATCCATCCCGTAAATGCGGTTCTCTCATGGAGGATAAACGAAAGCGTGAGGAGGGGAATTCAAACCCTGCACTACGCTGTCCTCGAAAGGGGCGTCAAACTAAACGGTCTGTTCCTAAAGAAAATCAATTTTTCCATATTTCAATATTTTTCCAATATTTTTCCAATAAATTTCAATATTTTCCATATTTTCAATATTATATTATATTTCGATACTGCGGCAGACCTCCCGGTATAGACGAAACGGGAGGTGGACCTCATACTGTACCTCACGATATAGTAACACAAAAAAAATAAATGACAAGCGTAATATTTCTCAAAATGTTACCTTTTTTTCTATCAGTCGATTTAATTTGCAAATATTCTCATCTGGTCAACTGCCCCACCTCAAAGCAAATCTGGAATGAAACACTCTAACTCTTTGGGGAAGAATTTCATTTGTTATTGATCGAGAGAAGCGTAAGGAAAAAAAAAGATTCCATAAGAAAAGTCATAAGTTTATTCTTGGATTATCACCAGGTCAGACAGTAGAAGAGTTCAAAAACCAAAAAAAGAAAACAAAAAAAATTTTTTTTTCCGTCCACCACGATATTCAGGAGATGTGGATGCAAAGACATTCCACTTTTATTAAACGGATATGCGGAGAGTGGAAGCAAATATCCAAGCGAACAATGCAAAGAGATGCCTCATATCAAATGATACGAGAAGAGACACGTAAAAAAGGTCACGTACGCATAAGGAAAATGCGTCCAAGAGACCCGACCACCAACCATCTCACCCTTCCTAGCATCTAGAGGAAGTCCTGTCTATCTACTTTATGGCTTTGTCTCAACTGGTTCTGAGTTCTGATCAGGTTTTGGTTACTATCGACCTCTTTCAATTAGTTTATATCACAGGAAATCTATGCACGTCTCTCTCTCTCTCTCTCTCTCTCTCTCACTCTCTCTCTCTCTATCTGTGTGTGTGTGTGTGTGAAAATGTTATGATATGCATATTTGGAATTCAAAAATCAATCAGCACTTCTTTCTTTTTTTCTATCTATCTATCTATCTATCTATCTATCTATCTATCTCAGGCTGTTTGGATCTATCTATCTATCTCAGGCTGTTTGGATCTATCTATCTATCTATATCAGGCTATTTGCATCTATCTATCTATCTATCTATCTATCTATCTATCTATCTACCTATCTATCTATCTATCTATCTCAGACTGTTTGGATCTATCTATCTATCTATCTATCTATCTATCTATCTATCTCAGGCTGTTTGGATCTATCTATCTATCTCAGGCTGTTTGCATCTATCTATCTTAATGCGTTAATATTTATCTACATTCCCGCTAAATAGTTCCTATGCATGTATCTATGTATGTATCATATTTTTTTTTCGTTTCCTCGAAGTGGTTTTCGTATGGTTTTTAATGTGTTGAGGTTTAAATTCTAGATTTGCTTTATTTTTCAAGTTGCTTTCTAAACACTTCCCAAAAACTACATAAGATATTCAATAGCAATACATTCAAATTAAGCTACAGCTGCACATGCAATTTAGATACTAAATTACATGTGAATTAATAAAAAGACAAAATAACAAAAACCTCAAAACTAACGTCCTGCAAAATAATACTAGTAATTTATGCAACTGCAGTAATAAAATTAGAGGCCCATTAAATGGAGCTTGTAAAACTCAATCTATTATTTATAAAGCAGAAGTAACATATATTAATGGTCAAATTAAAACATATACAGGCTGAACGGAAGAACCTTTCAAGTGCAGATGGTACAATCATATATCGTCTTTTATTTTCTGTTTTTCTTGCTTTCAATATGCCCTGTAAGTATTATTTTTTCCAAGCCGTCTTTTCTTATTATGTGCGCTAGAAATTTCTATCTTATCTTCGTGATGTTAACTATAAGTTTACGTTTTGTTTGCATTTACTCTAAAACTTTATTGTTGCTAACATTTTTGTTCCATAGTATCCTCAGCATCATTCTGTAGGACATCATTTCTGTTGCTTCAAGTCCCTTCATCATCTGCCATATATGAGGACTGAAATCACGTAACATTTCAGTAGTCTTTTCTTCTCTTTTCTTACTTGTATTAAAAAATTTGGCCCTAATTCTCGTACAGCTGGCTTAGAATTTAACTTAACTACAGTCTGTAGGATCTCACTATTGAGCAAACTTGGTTGTGAAAAAGTCGAGAGAAAGAAGAGGAAGCTCTCCAAATACTGATGGCATGTCCGAACAGTAAATACCTTATTGCTATGGCCAGAAAGAATATTTATTGTAGCTTCCTTTACTGAAGAGCCTTTTTGAATTCTTCCAGCATTCTCGATAAGGTTCTGATATGAAGTCATGTTAAAGGGCAAACTTGATACAAAATTCACACAAGCTAATATTCAGTTATGAGCAAAGAAAGAAAGAAGAAAAAACATTAGTAAATATAGAGTAAAAGTAATTGTAGCATAAGTATTGTAATGTCACCAAAAACTATTCATTTTAAATATGCTAAAGCACTCTCTTTCCAAATTAATAATATCGGGTTATCTGTTTAAAAAAATATGAGACTATTATTTTCTACACTCTATTTATTCAATGGCCCTTATGGACGTAGGTACCCTCAAATTCCTTCTGTGTAGATGGAAACGTGGTATT